GCATTTATTTCAGTTATAGAAATCTTTACCTTCATATCATCTTCAACAGTAGGATCTTTCTGATTCACAAAATCTGCAACTTTCGGATAATTTGACACCATTATCGATTCTGGAGTTTCTAAATTTATACTATTATCACATCTTTCAACAAGACTCTGCCATAACTCCTATTATAAGCATCAAAATAATTACATCGTTAATAATTATTATATACCCAAAATAATATCAGGAACTAACCTCTGTTAGAAATGGCATAAAAGGGTGTAATAATCTAAGTGATGTATCTAAACAAGTTTCTAATACTTTTAAAGTTGTTTTCTGAACCTTTTGAAAATTTAAACATGAATTAAAATTCTACTAATAAAATAAATGTTGTCCATAAAAAAGTGAATCTACCTTTGTATCGATATTTTCTGAATTTTCATACAAGGTAGGTTTGATAAATTCTAAATAAATTCCACATAAATCTTCAACTATGAAATCCTTCACAGCCTTTGTAACTTCAAATAATTCAAACTTTTCAAATCCCACTTGACACTTTGCTACGGTATCAGATAATCTTGATAAAATATATCTATCTACTAATGTTAAATGTTTTCTAGATTCTATAAATGAACTGCAAGATACTGTTTCTGTGATGTGTGTGATATGATTTAATGATGAGAAACGATCGTTAGAGAATCTGAACAAGTTCCAAAGTTTGTTACAAAAATGTAGAACAGATGTAATGTAAGAAACGCTAAGATTAATTTGCCTAATCTATTCAAAAAAAATTAAAAAGTGTATTTGATAATGACTAATACCCATAAAAAGTCGATCATAATAAAGACATGCATACCTGTTGAGTATAATTTACCAAACCAAATCTTAATGAGTCAGTGCCACATGGTTTAATTCCTTTTGGAAATTCTTTCGATAAGAGTTTAATACTTTTTTCTATTTCAGACTTCGATAAGCTACTATTAAGTATTGTTTGATGCATTTCTTCTAATGTGACTCCTTCAATTACATTTAATGGATCTATTACATTTCCAAGTGATTTTGACATCTTACGTCCTTGCGCATCTCGAACCTACATTTGATATTTATATTGTCATTTATGATAAATCTTTCGAATAGATCAAATTGAGTATTACCATTGCATGCAACAAAATTCTTTCAAAAGGTGGTTTCCCTGAGAAGTAAGTACATAACATCGCCATTCGGGCTATCCAGAAAAATAAAATATCGAATCCCGTTTCTATCATTGTTGTAGGGTAAACCTCCTGCATTTATTCATAAACAGAATACTAATTACAATATGTAGTATTTCATTAATCTTCAATAGACAATTCTACATTCTTACGGGAATATTTTGATCACCTTTCCAGTTCATGGATGATAATGGTAATAATGCTGATGAAAACCATGTATCCAATACATCTTCATCCTATTATATTCATTTATATTAATAAATAAATAACATGGAGTGGATCTGATAATTTTACAACTTAGCAAATGGATTAAACATACTTGTTTCAAGGTGTAATTTGTTTGTGAAAGAATGTTGTTTTGTTGAAAATATTTCTTGACAAATTGTTCGGCTTCAAACAGTGAAGTTGCAGCAAACCATAATCCCTCATCTAAAAAAATAAGTCCACGTGGACAGAAACAATGTCAAATAGAAAAAAGTCAGAAAAATCAGATATATGCGTCATTATTTACCAGATTTTTGCCCTTCATAAGTTAAATTATATGCTGGAACTGGGTGTCCCCACCATAATTGTCTTGAAATACACCAATCTTGAATATTTCCTGCACACAAAAAACAAATATTAAATTCATAACCTTCAA